CTTTTTTTTTGAACTTGAAGTCAATGGAGTTGGGGGGATGTGTGTGTGTCGCGCGCGCGCCCCCCAACCAATCAAACAAATCCACGGTATCTATAAAAAGAAAAACCAGGAATGATATAACATATGCCTACTATTCTAATTCTGATCAATCAAAGCTAGTTCATCTGTTCATGCTATGAACAAGCTACTAATTAATGCAACACAATCATAGATATTTTTCTTGTATTTTGATAAAAAGATATCTAATTGGTTATATATATTTATGTTTTTTAATTTAATTTGGAGTGGTTTTTTCACTTAATTAACTGGCTTAGGGGATCCGAAATCAGATCAATATGCGTCGTAGCACTCCCACACCTTAAATAAGTGGTTAGATAGATGAATCAGACGTTTGATGCGTAATCCTTGTGAATGGAGCACAGTTAGTTGGAAGGGATTTGTCTATTACCTTAAAATAATTAGCTTTTAATGCCCCTCGTGTTTCACCATAATAAATAAATAATGATATATTCCCTTTAGTCCATAATATAAGTCATTTTACCTAATTCATCAATGTTAAAAAAGGTTAATTAATTATTTAATTGTGTTTTAAATAATTTTTTTCAATTTTGTTCATGTTAAGTAAAGCTGTGAAAAAGAGTTAAAAATACAATGAGTTATATTTAAGTATTAATTGTAGAGACAAAATTAATAAATAAGTATTAATTATTCTTCAAGTGACTTGTATTTTGAACCAAGTCATCCTTATGGAAGTGACTTATATTAATTATAGACTGGAGGAAGTATATGAATGAATAATTTGAAGTTTTATTGAAGGCGAGAGACTCATTGATAAATTAATATTAGTTTCAATAAATTAAAGGGAATTCAATGCAATCTATCTTTTATATACCCAAACTTGATTGGTATGTATATTCATCTATTGAAAAAGAATAAAGCAAAGGAGATGAACCTTCTCATACGGCATAAATATATATTCATCTTTTTATTATTATTATTATTATTTTCTTTTTTAATTATTATATCTTTTTTTTATTTTTTATTTTTATTTTTAAATCTCTCAAAAACCTGCAACCAAAATTCAGGAATAAGGTAGCATTAATTGTTCTTGAAGATCAATCAATCACAATTACGATAAATTTACTCCTATTATGCACTAATTCAAGGTAAAGCATTCTAATATGAATTATACTTAAATAATGCAATTAAGGACCAATACAAAAACCCACTAAAAAGAGATAAAAACATAGGTTTGTCACCCAAACTTGATTGGTATATATATTCATCTATTGAAAAAGAAGAAAACAAAGGAGATGAACCTTCTCATACGGCATAAATAAAAATTTCCAACCACGTAATTGTTAATGATAATTTCCACAAATGATGTTGATTGTCAGTGTTGCTAAATTGGAGAAGTATTGCTTACGTAATTAGAAATTTATCACATAACTCAGTCATACATGCCCCGACAATATCTTATTTCTACTTTTTAAGGCACCTTTCATGACCATAATGCCTCCCATGAAATTGATTGATGTTAACCATTGATTAATTCTATTACCACTACTGCAATATCTATGTCTTTACGTGTAGAATATTCTATAGAAGAGTCAAACGAGTTTTTATTCTTTTTAATTTTTATTTATTTTGACCTTCAAGTCAATGGAGCTCGTGATTTGTATCTTCTTCAACCAATATATACGTGGTATCCAATAAAAGATAAGGTGGGAATTATATTAATACATATTAATCTATTCTGTGAAATTAACCTTTTAAGTTTTAATTCAATTATAACTTGCACGTATGAAAAGTTGGAAAAGCCACAGTCCCTCCGCTGCTCCCTTGTATTAATATTAATGACACAAAGTTAAAAGAAATTAATCGTGATTTATATTTTATAAATAGATTTTGATTCACGTTTGATCGGTATATTCATCTATTGAGGAAGAACAAAGGAGAAAAACCTTCTCACACGGTATGAACAAAAATTTCGAAACACATCATTGTCAATGATAGTGATGGTAATAATAAATTCGATTGTCACTTGTATTACTAGAAATAAATGGCACAAGTCAGTTATGCATGGCCCGACAACTTCTTATTTATACTTTTTCTAAACATTTTTCATGACCAAAATACCAGAAATGAGGATGATTGATGTTAACCATTAATTAATTTTAAGTTATAAATTAATGAATTATTTCAAATAAACTTTAATCAGTTGGTTCAAACAATTTGCCTTCTCAATAAGAATTAAGACTGATCAAATTAAGAGGATGGTGACTCAAGTATGTATAAATATTATCGTGCAAGCAAAGAGAGGTTAAAAAAGTTAAGCTGAAAGGAAGTAAAACAATAAAAAGCCGTTAATGAACGATGCTTGGTTGCATGCTTTTCAGGAATGGAAAGCAAGTTGAGATCTTAAAATCGAGACTTAAGCCACGCTATTTCGAATTTTCTAAAATTACTTATAGATTTTCAATGTTCACCAAGAAATAAAGGGGTTATCAAATGAAGAGTAATCCATTAATTATAGTAGGGAGTGAGATTTTTAAGTATCCTGGAAATCCAAAAAGGATTAAAGTGGTTCCAAAAAAAAAATCTCTAATGCTCGAGAGAGACTGCACGTATTAAGAGGATTTTCATGGATGAGTAATTTTAATGCAAATAGTTCAAGATGATATTTTAAAAAAATCAATACATTTTTTATAAATAACTAATTTTTTTAATTCATGTAACTTAATTAGGGAAAATGAAGGAAAAATATCTGCTCAATTTTAAAAAGATAAATATGTTATGCTAACTACTCTTATAAAATTTTTTTGAGTATTTGATACTTTCCTAATGATTTTGAGTCAAAATATGTTAAAATCACATATTTATTATTTTAAAATTTAATACTGATTTTGCCATTTTATATATTACAGACAAAAGAGTCATTATTTAAGGCACCGCCTTGCCCTTAGCTCGTTCATATCACATCTTCCTCTACCAAACTGACACATGTTAGCTACAAAAAGATAAGGTAGGAATTTACTCTGACTCTGACAAGTCAAAGCCGTGTTTGTCCATAGATATAGTTAATTCACTTTGTGTCATAATTTATAATTTATTTTAAAAAAATTTATTAATTACACATATCAAGATTTTATTAAAAGATAGTTATAATGCATGCGCTTGGTAATGACATTTTTAAAAAAAATCAATATATATTTATTTCAAATAACTAATTTAATCAATATTTTTAAATTAGTTATCTAATTTTTATATTATTGGGAGGAAGCACTAATAAATTAACGCAACATACTCATTTTTTTACAATATTTTGATATCTAAGTGTTCAATTAGAAGAGATTAGCCTTAATGGTTACGGCCAGGGGAGCATGGTCCTCGTATTTCACGAGAATAAACAAATAACGATATATGTTGATGATCAATTTAAGTTTTATATTTTGAAGGCATGAGACTGATATAAATAAAATTAATACTAATTTCAGTAATACTATAAAAATTCGGCGTCATTTATAGTCTCATATATATAAATGAAATTAATATTAATTTCAATAATATTAAAAGGAATTCGGCGTCATTTATAGTCTCATATAAATATAATTAATACTAAGTTCAGTAATATTAAATTCGGCGTCATTTATATTTTGATTCAAGATTGATTGGGATATTCAAAAATGGTTAAAGAGATGAACCTTTTCATATGACATGAATGAAAATTTGCGATCACAAAAATTTCGTAGAAAATGGTGATGGTGATGGTAAATTTGAGGAGTGTCAGATATATTATTAAAAATTAATGATACAAGAAAACATTAATAGAAGCAATTGCTGATTCATTACAAGTATTATTAACAATACTTTTTCATAACTAATACATATATCTAAAAAATAAAAATAGGAAATTGTTTTAGAAAATTAGGGAAGGTTTTGAGAGAATATTGATGTTCTGTGATATTTTTCGGACATCTACTCTACACACACACACATATATATTCTTCGACCAATCAAACTGAGACAATATGCGTATCAATTAGATGATTGGTTCCTAATCATTGTGAATGGAGAAAATTTAGCTGAAGAGATTTGTTTATTATATTACCCAAAAGAGATGAGCTTTTACTGCTAATGAAATATGCTCCTCGTATTTCACCAGAATAAATAAATAAAAAATGATATATGTGGGTGAATAATTTAAAATGCTACTGAAGGCATTAGACTCAGATAATTAACATTTACTTCAAAAAAATTAAAAGAAATTTGGCATGATTTGTATTTTATACGTAGATCTTGGTTCAAGTTTGATCCATGTATTCATCTATAGAAGAATGAAAAAGGAGACGAACCTTCTCACAGCATCAACAAAAATTTCCAACCACATAATCGTCAATGATAATTTCCTCAAATGATGGTGATGTTGATGAGTGCGTCACTTACGTTGTTAAAAATTAATGACACAAATCAATCATACATGCAACGACAACCATTTCTTTCTATTATTTTTAGACACCTCTCATGACCAGAATGCCTCAAATGAGAGTTATTAATTAATGTTAACTATTGATTGATTAATTTGAAGTTATAAATTAAATAATTATTTCAAATCAACTTTCATCAGCTGATGCGAACAATTTGTTTTATTGATAGAAAATTTAGACGAATCAAATTAATTAAATGATAAGAATGTTTTTAACATCAATTGTTTTTACTTTAAATAAAAATTTTATAGTCCTTTTTCATGAACCAAAAATCTTCCTCTATTGAGTTACTAATATTTATCACGCTAGTTGACGCCAATATTTCTACGTTGTAAAATAAAATTATTTGAAAACTTTGGTGAACCGCTTGTGTATAAATGACCCAAGGATCACTCACTTCACATCCACAAGACGCCTACCCTATTCTTACTATATCCAATTGAAAAGAATCCTAGGCATGTTCAACTCTAAGTTCAATTTCTTTTGGCTTGTTGGAGTTTTATGTCGCTTTTGGTGTGCAGGGTGTTCCAATATAAACATCAGTTGCGCAGAGACAGATAAGGAAGCTCTTCTCAAATTAAAACATGGTTTCGTTGATGTGTCCGGCATGTTGTCTACCTGGAAAAGTGAAGTTGATTGCTGTGAGTGGAGTAGAGTATCATGCAATAATTTGACTGGTCATGTTATCAAGCTCGAACTTCAAGCTCAGTGGAGTGAATTTGGCGAAGGATTGGGAGGTAATATCGATTCCTCATTATGTGATTTGCAGCATCTAACTTACTTGAATCTCAATGACAACAATTTCGAAGGGACCAAAATTCCAGAATGCATTGGCTCACTTCGTCAACTAAGAGAGTTAAGTATTTGGAGTGCTTCAATTGGTGGCACTATTCCTCCTGGGCTGCAAAATCTATCCCGTTTGCAAACTCTTGACCTTAGCTCTAATGACTTGATTGTGAAAGATCCTGAGTGGGTTTTTCACCTTTCTTCTTTGAGATCTCTTGCCCTCTCAGGCGTCAATCTAAGTCAAGCTGTTGATTGGCAATCATCATTATCCAAAGCTCCTCATCTATGTGAGATTCACTTGGGTGATTGTGCTCTTATGTCTCATGTCAATCCTACTTCATTTGTCCACGCTAACTCTTCCAGTTCCCTCAGAGTCCTGGATCTTCAGAAAATTATTTAGACTCTTCAATCCTATCCTGGTTGTCTAACGTTAGCAAGGTCTTAACAGATGTTGATCTCAGTTATAACGCTTTGGAACATATTTTTCCAAATACTTTTTCAAATATGAATTCTCTTGAATCTTTGTCTCTTTCTTGTAATTCTTTGCGACATATTTCTTCAGATGCTTTCCTAAACACCACTTCTGTTGAATTTCTTGATCTTCAAGTCAATGAACTTGAGAACAGCATCCTAAAATCCATCTCGAATTTGTGTAGACTGAAAAAATTACTGTTGTCCAACAACAATTTTTCAGGTCAATTAAGTGATTGGATACCACAGTTAAGGTGCGCTCAAAATAGTATAAAGGACTTGTTTTTAAATGACAATCCTTTTAGTAGCGGACCATTTCCCGATTTTTCAAGATTTTCAAATCTGGTGACCTTAGATCTTGTGAACACTGGTCTTCATGGGCCATTACCGGTGTTTGCTGGATTTATATCGTTGGCGAGCTTATATGTGTCTAACAATAGGCTAAATGGAAGTATTCATCCAAGTGCGTTTGGACAAGTTCCAAACCTTGTTTACTTGGATCTTTCTTCAAATAGGTTGAATGGGAATATTCATCCAAGTGTCTTTGGACAAGTTCCAAACCTTGTCCAACTGAATCTTTCTTCAAACAGGTTGAATTCTGTCATTAATGAAACACATCTTTCAACTCTCTCTAACTTGAGGTATTTAGATGTGTCACAGAATATGGTTTTTTTCAACTTCAGTTCGCATTTTGTGCCACCTTTTCAATTGAAATTGTTTACAGCAGCATCGTGTAATTTTGGACCCCACTTTCCCAGCTGGTTAAAGTATCAAAGGGAGCTTCAGTTGTTGGACATTTCTGATGCGTCAATTTCAGATTCGATTCCTCAATGGCTTTGGCTATCTCCTTTACAACAATTGAATCTTTCCCACAACAAACTTTATGGGGAGCTGCCAAAACCAATCTTGAAAATGGACAAATATGCAATGGATTTGAGTTTTAACAATCTATCTGGTCCCCTACCATATTTCCCACCAAATGCAACAATAGCGTTGCTTCTCTCAAATAATATGTTTTCAGGAACCATATCTTTCATCTGTGCAACTCATCAAGCAAGCTTATATCATCTTGACATTTCAAGCAATTTTTTGTCGGGAAGACTTCCTGATTGCTGGGGGCAACTTCCTTCATTGGAGGTTCTAAGATTGGAAAACAATCATTTCTACAGGGCAATACCAAATTCAGTTGGTACTTTGAACAATCTTAAAAGTATCCATCTGAATAACAATAACCTCTCTGGGAAATTGCCAGCTTTCATGAATTCTTCGTACTTGTTGTTCATTGATTTTTGGACAGAACAATTTGGCTGGAAAATTGCCATCATGGATAGGGCAGTACTTGCACAATTTGATTGGTCTACGTTTGCAAGCAAACAATCTTTACGGAAGCATTCCTTCAAATTTATGTAATTTGCCATTTCTTCAAATCTTAGATCTCTCAAGAAATAATATAACGGGAAATATACCTCATTGCTTTGGTAATTTGAGTGCTATGTCAAATATAACATCTATGAGCGAAGTCATTGCATACGATGCTTCTTATTTCTTTGCTGTATCATCAATTATGGACACTGCAACATTGTCATGGAAAGGATAATATGTTGAGTACAGTAAGAACCTTCGATTCATGAAAACCATTGATCTCTCTTGCAATCACTTAACAGGAGAAATCCCAAGTAGCATAGCTGCACTTGTGGCATTGGTTTCCCTAAACTTGTCTAGAAACCATTTGAAAGGTTCCATTCTTGTGAACATGGGTCAAATGAAAAGGTTGGAATCACTTGATTTATCATACAACTCTCTTTCTGGTGAAATTCCTATCAGCTTCTCAAGTTTGAGTTTTCTCAGTGTGCTGAACTTGGCCTTCAACAATTTATCAGGAAAAATTCCAACTAGCACCCAACTTCAATCCTTTAGTGCCTTCGATTATATAGGAAACCAGGGGCTTTGTGGCCCTCCACTTACAGAGAGATGTCCAAGAGATGGGAGTTCAGATCTGAATCCCAATCCACGTGACATTGATGTAGATGGAGGTGATAATCTCATAAGCTTTGGGTTTTATGTGAGCATGGCTCTTGGCTTCATTACTGGATTTTGGGGAGTTTGTGGGACTTTAATTCTCAAGAAGTCTTGGCAACATTCCTTTTTTCACTTCTTCGAAAACATGTATGACTGGATTTATGTTCAAGTTGCTATTTTGAAGGCAAAGATAAAGAGAAGATTCCAAGGGTAATAGGTAAACATTTTTTTTTTGCAATATAATTGTGATACCCTAATAATAAGATTCATCCACTGGAATATTGTTGTGCATTGCAATATATGATCAATCTTGAGAAACTATTTACTATGTGATAAGTTCAAAATTTTTATATATTTTTGTTCAAAAAAATTTCTTAATGTTACTTTTGTTTCTCTCAATCTCATGAATATACAACTACTATATAACGCAACCCTTGATGCTAATTGAAGAGTATGCACATTGTCATAATATATTAGTGAATTGCTGTTACCATGTGACACATGTGAATTATATCTGAGCCCATATATACTTTGTATAATTTAAGAATATGTGATGACTTTGCTTGATCACGTAGATGGTTGGAGAAAGTTGCAGAAATAATCATCTTGTTGGCGAGGTTTTGACTATTTTGGGATGCTAAATTACGAGCGAGCAAGACTGGATCTGCTCCATCTTCTATGTTACTTTCTTGTTTTGTTCATATTTCTATCTCTTTATGTTTCGATGTAAGATGAAAGCTAGGTCACTTGTTAGCCGTTGCAATGTTCCCTGATCCATATTGAGTGAGATGTTCTGTGAATCACTGCAGAGTTTAGTGTTAAAAGAGCAATTTCATCATGTACGGTTCTATTTCTTGGCAAAGAAAAAGTATGGTTTCTTTTAACCATTACGTTCATTGCATAATACAATTATTCACTAACATCCATTAATGGGTCAAACTACTTTCAAAGATATTGGATTAAACAACAAAGGTAGTAGCCATTATGGGACAAACTTTTATATTTTCTTCTTTTCACAAGTTGTTGACGTCAGAGGGCGTCATCCCCAAGCATATTAGATGACCAAATTGACCATACACAGAAGCAATAATGTCTCTATGATGCAGGACGGGGAGGTGAATGGGAGAAAAGAGGAAAAGAGAAGGGGAAGAGAGAGAATAGAGGAAAGAGAACAGCAAGAAAGAAAGGACAAATCAGACAGAAAAAGGGTGAAGAGAACTCAGAGGAGGAGAAACTCAATAATATATTTATTCAAATCATAAGGCGTACAAAGCAAATGAGTTGATGTTCTATTTATAAGTCTCAACCTAACTCTAGAAATTAAATGCGTAATATTCTAGAAATCTTAAAATTAAATGACAATGATAATTGATAATAAAAGATAGCAATCAAAATTAAAACCCTATTTCTAATAATGATAAATATATGAAATATAAAAAATCCTAATTAGTCATTATTCCATATCCCATCACTCCGATTACCAGCAACCAAAATAGTTCAAGCTGATCAAAAGTATGTGTCTGGTTCAATCATCATCCCAACAACCACCAGTCACAGAATCAGATTGGGATTTCTGGTCAACTTTAGTCTAACATAACTAGCAACGATTTCACTAGAAAATTATGGTTTGCTAAACAAAACTCTCATATTAATAAAGGCACTTTCTACTACCGTACTCCATAGGTATACTACTGCAGAACAGCTTCAATGCATTACAACGGACATCACCATAAACAAACATGAACATACATACGACGTACATGCACATACATATACATACACATACACATACATATATATATATAAACACAATAAAAATGCAAATACTTGACGGCATTTTTGCATGCATCTACGCATTAACCATCAATGGCAGATTGGTCAACATTGTTAAGAATAAGATCCAACTCTTTGGCAAATTTCTTCATGCTTTCTGGTGGAAGGCAAACAGTTATGATTCTTCCTTCCTCACATTTGCTATTTGTATATCCAATGTATAAAGTGAATCCTTGAAAAGTGCCAAGTCCACTCAAAACAGGACCAGCATACACAGCCTTTGCCCCGCCCAAAATCAACATCTTTAAATCCAAGATGAGAAAAATCTGCAATAATAAACGACCTCACTGTTGTGAAACTGGGTTGTCCTCTACTCACCAAGAAATCAGCCACAGAGTGAAAATACTGGCCATTCACTACATCCTTTGCTTCTCTACCCAACTCCAAACCATACTCTAACGGACTCTCACACAGTTTTCCGGTGGTTGAAACCGCCGTCGGAAGCACCACGGCGTTCCTATAATACCCTTTTGGTAACAGAGGGTTGAATATATCACGTCCCATGCGTGCATTAGCCAGGAACATGAGACGAACATCGTCTTGTGAGTCTAGGTCTAAAGCTTTTGTACGACAATACCAGAGACAAGCCGTGACAAGGTCGAATGAGATTGATTGGGTTAGGTGGTTGGGGAGTAATCTACGGAGGGATGAGACTTCGGAGGGTCCGAAGAACACCGATGAACAATGTTGGTAGAGGGAATAGGATCACCGGCCACTTCATCGTACTCATGATGGGTGCATGTAATGTTTGGTGGGTCTCTTGCGTTTAGAAGCTCTCTGTTCCAGA